AGAGCAATTTTAATTGAACTTTTGTAACATATTATTACATTTAGAAATTCACAAATTAATTTACAAGAACAAACTCTAGGCTAAAGAATAGAGGGTAGATTAGAGGGCAGTATAAATCGGAAGCGGAGTGGCGTAGGAGGAGCTGTAGGAACTGTGCCAGTGGTGCAAGGAAGTATAGGAGGAATTCCCCAAGCAAAGGATATAGCTTACGAGTAGACATAATAGCAGAAGTGGCCGAGCTACGTAAAGATTTTCTAACGATTCTAAAAGGAATTATATATACTATATATATACATACATATATATACTTATTATTACAAGTATTAACAGAGGGCATCGAAGTTACTCGAAAACTTAGAGCGAATAAGTTAAAATCTAGGTAAATGCATAACATCAACAAATGCTTTGTAAGGACGCAAAAACAAACAAATCGATCTGGAGTCAACAAAATATACAACTGAATTCCCCAGATAGTGCCCCCAAGCCCAGGCCCAGGTCCCGTTCCTAGCCCCAGTCCATGCCCCTTGCCGCAAGCTCTAGAAACGAATACGTAGAAGCCGTACAGAACCAGGGAGGGTCAGAAAGGATCAAAATATCTGCATAATCTATAGACTATATTATAGCCATAGGTGCTGTAGATCCCCTAAGCCAATTAATGTATCGGAGTTTCCCTTTGAAATCGAATTCCGACCCCACGGCCAACATCCCCACAACAGCCACAGCAACCCCCAGTCCCGCGACAGCACCCGAGATGATCTTTGATTTGGCACCCTCATAAAGCTAAAGAAATGCAAAGAAAACCAAAAGTTTCTCAACTGTCTGATAGGTGTAACTTATGAGTAATATACAAACAAAATATATCCCCGAGCGAAAGAAAGAAAAAGGAGGTGTTGGGAGACCTTCCAAGAATCCCAAGAAAAGCAAAGAAAAGGAGAAGACAAACGAAACAAACGAACTAAACGAACCCTTAACAAAAATGTGTGTATACCTATTTATAATATTGAATATTTAAATTGAAATGAACGTTCAAGACTGCTGTCAAAATAGCTTTATCACATAATAAAATAACAAAGATCTACACGAGACACAGAACAAGAACAGATCACAAAAATACGAGTATACAACAGATCCGAACCGATCGGAAAAGAGCAGAACAACTTACAGTACAGTACAGAACATAACAGAAACTTCACTCACTCAAAACTTAAAACTCAAAACACACACAAACTATCTAACAATCTACACTCGACACGCGATACACTGACATGTGGGAAGTCTTACTCACACGCCCAGCTTTAATGTTATGTATTGATGCATATTTGGGTTTCAACTCTACAACAACAAAACAACAACTTTAAACGAACAAATATATATCGATATATTTACTATAAATGTGTGTGGGTCGATAAGCGATATATCAAATCGAATAATTGGTACAAGATCAAATTTCCGCTTAAACTGGTTTCCTTGAGCCCCACAAAAATGATACAAAAACTAAAACTGAAACTGAAACTGAAAGCGAAACAAAACCAAATCTAAAACTTTGATATGAGGGACCGAAATTTCAAATGACAGGTCTTTATTATACAAAATACCATAAAAAAGTAAAACCAAAAAGGAAAGCAAAATCAAACAACTAATGGGAATCTCTGTCTGAAAACTGAACCTAAAAAAAACAAACAAAAAGCACAACAAGACAACCAATGGAACATTCAACAGAATCACTTTAAACCGGAATTTAGTTGCAGTTGCAGTTGCAGTTGCAGACACAGGACACATGACATACAAATAAATCGATCATGAATGTGCACCACACCATGTCTTTGGCTAAATGTTGTTCCTTTCGGATGTATGTACATATGTATGTAGTAGGTCCAATCGTTGTCCCTGTTGCTATCGTTTGTCCAGTCCCCTGTCCAGTGTCCAGTGTCCAGTGTCCTGTGTGTTGTCTACTCTGTCTGTGTTGTTTTTGCATATTTTTCTAATACGGATTCTAATTGCATATGCATACATGATGAATATATCTCGTGTATGTATATATTCTTTTCTTCAGCGAATCGTAGAGCTCGTGGGGTGCTGCGAAAATCACTAAGTGTTGCACACGCCTGATCTTAGAGCCGACAACTGGATACAAATTCTCTCAATCGTCCATCGAATACCAGGAATACCAGAATAATGCCACAATCCCAAGCCGAAATACAACAGTTGTTCTTTGTTTTGGGTACATTTACACGCTCAGAACTATAGTCTATGTAAATAGAGTGTCCCCCCTGATTCCAGATTTCAGATTCTAGTCCCTTACATTTTTTCCCCGCTTTCAACTATTGTATGTAGAATGAGGTATGCAGAACAATATATACACATGCAGTACACACACACGCAAACACACAAACATATACACATACACACACAGATAAATATAAATACTTACCTATACTTATATACATACATGTACAGACGGTCTAGAGAGTATATACCCAGAGAAGAGCCCGCGACAACACAACAAAAAAGATCATATTTGACTTTATATGTATTATAGTAATGTATTCAGTAGCTAAATCGAAAGCCGAAGCAAAGACCAATTTATTAAACGACAAACTAAAAGGAAAACAAACAAAAATAAGAATGCGAAAACCGAATAAGAACAATTATTATGTTAAACTAAACAATAAAGGATGATGAGAATGGTGTAGAGGACTTAGAGATGAGCGCGAAGAAGCTGGCGAGAAGTGAAACAATTTTTTATTGAAAAAAAAAAAACAAAAAGAAAACCTAAAGGAAATGAAAACCTAAACTAGAATGCATTGCATGATTTAAACAAACAAAAACAACAACAAAAATGGTAAAAAATAAACCGAAACTAAAGTAAATGCAACTAAATCTAAAACTAAAGTCAACTAAAACTAAACCTTAAACTAAAGCTAAGTATAAGTACATTTAAATTAAACTTAATTAAATTAGTATAAATGAAAGGGAAAAGATTTGATTTCTAAAAGAAATGCGTAGGAAGATTTAATTAAAAACCACAAAAGAAAATAAAAGAAACCAAAAAACAAAAAACAAAAACCCCCAATGAAAAAAATAGTTTATTTTGAATTAATTGTTTTGTATATTTAAATTTAAATTTAAAAGAATAAATGAAACCGATACCCGAAACAGAAACAGAAACAGAAACCAAACAAAATATATTGTTATATTGTATATCTTATCGAGGAACCGTGTTTTGCAAAAGCTTTAATATTTAGGGTGCCTACATTTGCTAAATTAGTATTTTACGATTGAAAAACAAAACAAAACAAAAAACTAAAAAATAAAATAAACAAAGAAAAATAAAAAACAATAAAGAAGTACAGAAACCACAGACACAAAATAGCATAAACATAGAAAACAGATAACAGGATGATGAAGATGAAGAGGAAGGACGAGTGGCGATTCTAAAGCCTAGTCATAGAAAAAATCGACAAAAGAAAAGCAGAAACACTAGAAAAAGGCAGTTCATAGAACCCGCGTAATGTTGTTTGGTCAAAGTCAAGAATCTAAAGCTAAGGAAAACCCCAAACCCAAATCCAAACCCAAACCCTAACAAAAAAAAACAAACACAATTGAGAATACCCTAGAAAAAACAACACAAAACAAAAACAAAAACCAAAACTAATGCAAATATTGTATTTGTATTTGAGATATGAATTTTAAGAATGTTTATTAGACTTACGATTTGTTATTTTGTATACATATACATATATGTAGTATATTTCATATGTATTATGTATGTAGCATAAACTGATCAGATCTGATAACGATTGTAATTGTTTTTTTTTTTTGCTCATTAAGCATTTACGTCGTAAGAATTCCCACTATTTATAGCAAATTTACCATATTACATAAAATCAATTTGCTGTACTGTTATAATGTACAATTCCCCCCCCCCTCTCCCTTCCCAACAAAAAAGAAGATCGAGAAAGTGAGAGAGAGTAGAGAAACGAACGAAGGATCGAGAGTGAGATGAGATTCGATCAGTGGGAGAGGTAGGAATGGAAAGAAGGAACCCCTCCCCTCAACCTCCCCCCCCCCCCACAAAAAAATAAAAATTATAAATAAAAAAAAAAAAAAAAAAAAAAAAAAAAAAATAAAAAAAAAAAAAAAAAAAAAAAAAAAAAAATAAA